ATTACACTCAGAACAATTTCTGATTTCTTTGTTTATCTCCTTTCCGCGGGGACAACGCAGTGAGGCACCTAATTGGCTTTTATCACAACAAGAAGCAGTTTTGTGCTGTTCTAAAAGAGTTTGATGTTTTAGACAACGAACTTTTTTACCACTATCCTCTAATTTAATCGCCGTGTCACCATAAGCGGCTCGACCAACCACCCGCATTCTTTCTTCCGCAAAATTTTTATTTTTTCCCTGCTTAGTAAATACCATTATATCATCATTACCAGAAGTAAAGGCGACTTGACTAATTTCATCATGATGCTTAACTATATTAATTATTTTCTTTCCTCCCTTCATCACCCGACCAATTTTTTCCAAAGGTAAACGCTTGATTTTTCCTTTCTTAGTGCCAATTACTAAATATTTTTCTTGCTTGTTTTCATCAGTTAAAAAGTCTTCCCGGACCGAAATAATTTGTTCAACAAGTTCCCCGGGGTCTAGTTTCAGCATACCACTTTCTTTTAAGTTAATGCTTTTGTCAGTTAATTTATAGATAGGAACAATATAAATTTTCCCTAAGTTAGAAAAACATCACAAATCATCCCGACGGTTAGACTTAATAATGGATAAGTTCTCCCCCCGAGTTTTTAATTCTTTCCCAACACTTGGAATGTTAGTAGCATCCAAAGAATCAATTTTGTAAATATTTAAATAACTGGCTAATTTACTTTCCTTTTCTCCGGTTTCTGATTTAGATTTTTTCTTTTCCCCCTGACTGAGAATAATAATTATCTCTTCCGGAGTAATGGCTTTTCTTTCATCAATCAGATGAGAATCAGAAATAATTTGAGTACGACGAGCATCTTTTTCATAATCTTTTTTCAATTGTTCTAAATCGGCAATTAATTTTTCTTTTCGTTTTTCCTCGCTAGCAATTAATTGTCCCAATTCTTCGTTCTCAGTTTCTAAATTAGTTATTTCCTTGGCTAAATCAGCTTGTTTTTCCGGAGTAAATTGGCGAAAACTAATCGACATGCTTAAAATATTTTCAATCTTAATTTTTCCTTGTTTAATTTCCACAAATTTTTGCTTTAATTGTTCGTAGCGGTCTTCCTCAGTGGGATAACCTTTAATTATTTCCGCAATTTCTTGGTAATTATTAATAATAAAAAGCCGAGTATTTAAACTAACCAATTCCTTTTGATTTTCTTTGAAAAGAAACTGAGATTTGCGGCGAATATTTTCTAAACGTTTGCTAATAAACGCTTGTAGGGTTTCAGTTAAGGAGAAAATTTTAGGGTCACTTCCTACCAAGGCTCGCATTTTAATCGAAAAACTAATTTGCAACTGAGTATTCTTATATAACTTGTTAAGAATTACTTGACCATCATATTGAGAGGAGTCAAATTCAAGCCGAATATCAGTAATTCCTCGGTTGGAATAATCGACAATTTTCTTTAATCCCGAGATTTTCTTATCCTTAATTATTCCCGCAATTTGGGCTACTAAGGTTGACTTACTAACTTTATAAGGTAATTCAGTAATTCAAATTATATTTCTAGCCGTTTTTTCGGTTCCGGTGATTTCCTTGCCGTTTTTCACTTCGTGGGCGGAAAAAATTTGCACTTTGGCTCGTAAATAAATAGTTCCTTCCCCTTTTTCGTAAATACTAGGTAATTTTTCTTTTTCTAAAACGTAGCCGCCAGTGGGAAAATCAGG